ATTTCTTAGTTTTCTGAGGAACCTCCATACTGTTTTCCATAGTGGCTGTACCAATTTGCAGTCCCACCAGCAGTGTATGAGGGTTCCTTTTCCTCCACATTCTCTCCGATACTTGTTATTACTTGTCTTGTTGATAACAGCTATTCTAAGAGGTGTGAGATGGTATCTCATTGTGGTTTTGATTTGCATTTCTATAATACCTAGTAATGTTGAGCATGTTTTCATATATTTGTTGGCCATTTGTATGTCTTCTAGGGAGAAGTGTGTGTTCAAGTCCTCTGACCTTTTTTGATTGGATCGTTTGGTTTTTGTTGTTGTTATTGAGTCGTATGAGTTCTTTGTATATTTTGGATATTAGGCCCTTATCAGAGGCATTGCTTGCAAATATATTTTCCTATTTAGATGGTTCTCTCCTTGGACAACAATGTATTTTTATCTTCACAACACCTGTGTGTGGAAGAGCTAGCTTGAAATGACTGGAGATAATGAGTTTGGGTTTGAATATGATGTGCTTTATAGTCCTACAAGATAACTAAGTGGCAATATCTAGTAGACAATTGAATATACAGGTCAAGATATTTGCATAAATATGGGATACAGACTAATGTGGTCATCACGCTTTTGGGTACCTTAGCTGTTTCGTTACTGAGCATGATTTAATAACTGGTTTTGAATTTAATTATGTCTTTATTTTAAAATTCTCTCTTAAATATCTGCCCCCCCCCACCAAATCTAGTATTCCTTGCTTGTTGGGCTATTTATTATTCCAGGAGAATTATAATAAGAATAGAAATTGTACTAACAAAAAAAACCCTATAGAATAGCAAGATTAAAATGTGGCAAATATGGGGTCAAATATAGGGGTGTAGGGGGAGGGTGAAGTGGGTAAAGGAGATAAAATATATGGTAGCTGAAGGAAACTGGACTTTGGGTGGTGAACACACAACAGAATATATGGATGTCAAATGATAATGTACACCTGAAAAATTATATGATTATATTAACCAATGTTGTCCCAATAAACTTAATTAAAATAAAATAAAATGTGGCAGATGTAAGGACCTTAGGAATTTTCATTACATGAGATGGCTAATATTTGGTAAAACATTACACGGGGTTAGTTCTTTGGTACTCACCTGATCAAATAGAGCTTTTTATTCCATGGATAGATATTTAAGACTGGCCCAACACCAGTCATGTGGTTGCAACATTCTCCAACATTTTCAATATATTCATACTTCAATGGCACATTGCTGAGGAGTTCAAATTCCTCAGGTGCCTTTTGAAATACCTGTTCTGCTGCATAGAATCCAATTACTAGCAGTGTCCTGCCACCTGTTTCTTCATACTTGAATGAAGTGAAACACTTGAATGCTAAAGAGGAAAAAAGTTAAATTCTTCTGGTTAGCAGAGAAGTGGGAACATATCAAAATTTTAGAAAACTATATATGAAATAATTACTGAATCTACTTGTGCCATTTTATTTTCATGAAGAAATAAATCTCATTTTCTAATTGTTTTCCCTAATAGCCAGTTGTACTTTTTTGTGCTTTGAAATATTAATGCCACTACACGTTTCTTCTAAACATTTTCAACATGCATTAAAGCCAATATGTATCAGGCCCTGTGAATACAGGTGTGAATAAGTTATAGTCTCTGTTATAAAGAAGCCCAGAGCCTAGTAAGAAGACATGAAGCAAATAAAATATGATAGGTATTATAATAAAGTTGTATACAAGATATAGTGGAGCTATAAATAAAGGAAATTATTCTAGTGGGGTATCATATAAAGAAATACTTTGGAAGTGAATTTAAATGATTTTGCTTAGTCTTAAAAAATGATCAAGAGTTGGACCAGAATGTGATTGAGGCGAGGAGAAGGCATTCCAGGCAGAAAAAAAGTATGACCAAAGATACCATTGTAAAACAACCAGGTATATTCAAGAAAATGAGTAAAAAGTTCTTATTGCTATAGCACAGAGAACCATGGAAGGGTTTTAAATTGGGAAACTCTATGGTCATGTTAACATTTTAAAGACTTGATTATAGTGATAGTATGGGAGATGGGCTGGTGGGAATCAAGGTAACAAGAAATGTGGAAAACAACTTGGATAACTGAAATAGTAGAGAAAAATATTGAGGGCTTAAGCTCTGAGAAGGGTGTTATAGAAAAGAGGACACATCTAAGAGATATTACAGAGGTAGAACTGGCAAGATTTTATAACTGATTAGATGTGGAGGATGAAGAACAGGCAAAAATCTGGAATGACTAGGTTTTTAACTTAGGTAACTTGATAGATGGTGATGCCAGTTGCTAAGACAGAGAATGTAGGCAGATATGTAATTGGATGATAATAAAGGGGTTTGGGGGGTTGATGAAAAACTTCGGTATCGAGGTATATTGAAGTAGATGGGTCATACATATATGTCTGAAAATATTAACAGAGAAAAGAAAGGTGATGATTAATGAACTTGAAAACTAAAGTAGAATTTTCAAAAAAGTTTCAAAAATAAATGTTTCCAAATAAAGGAAAAAGGGAGAAGTAATCAAAAGAATACTCTATTTTGGAGAGGGGCAAACATTTTTTTTGCAGAATAATTGTTCTTTGGAAGAGTACCCCAAAGAAGACCAAGTCTTCTGTCCACTCACAAATGAAAAAGATTGTGGTCTCATCCAGACATATGGTCTTTGGCTTGATACATAAATCTACACTGGCAGTGTTTGGGCTGTGCTGGTGAGTCTTAGAGTTGTAGCAAGATGCTGAACAGCAGTGGTCTCAAAGCCAGACATAATCAAAACACATCACGGTGCTAGCATATCACAGTTCTAGGGAAAATTCAGATTCTTTTTTTTTTATTTATTAGTTTATATTATATATTTTATAAAAATTTAAAAATTTATTTAGGAAAACTTTAAAAAATCAGTAGTCAGAAAACTTGGTATAGTCCAAAAATATATCTGATTGAATATAGAAATTTGGTATGTAATGAACTGGTAGTTATAATCACTGGGGAAAATATGAACTTTTAAATAAATGGTTTTGGCACAACTAGATAGCCATTGGAAAAAAGATAAAATTGGCTCCATATTTCATATATGTATATTTTCATATTGTCACCAGGTCTCTAAGATAAACTCAAAATAGATCAGAGTTCTAAATTTGGAAAATGAAACCATTCAAGTATTTAAGTATCTTAAATATTTAAGTAACCACCAGCTCCATCAGCAGTTCTACCAGGTGGAAAGAAGATATCAAGGAGGTCCTTACTATTCTTGCAACTTTTCTGTTAGTTTGAAGTTCTAACAAAATTAAAAGTTACCAAAATATTACTTTCCTATACACCAGGTTACTCATTTAGGAAAGGTAAATAAAGCTGAAATCAAATATATAAGCAGAACAAAAATGATTAAGTATCTGGTTATAAACAAAAATGTAGGACACTGCTATAGAGAAAAATCTATATAACTATCCTGAATGACTTGAAGGAAACCTGAGTGGATAAATATGCTCACAGATGGGCAGATTCAATAATCAGAAGATACAAATTCTCCCACAAATTAAGACACAAAATCCCACGTACTTCTGATCCAAATCCCAGTGGAAATTTTCATATCCTGGACAGGCTAATTCCAAAATTCATACTCAGAATTAATAAAGTAACAATTTTGAACAAGAAGAAAGGCATGGGGTGACTGCCTTACTAGATATAAAACATATTATAAGGCTATGGTCATTTAAAAAGTATGGTATTCGTGCAGAATAGATGAACAGATCAAGAGAATAGAATAGAGTCCCAAAAGAGACCCAAATATACATGGAGATATGGTATATGTTAAAGGTGGCATTTCATAACCTTGGAGAAAAGATAGATTACTCATTAACTAGTTTTGGAAAAAAAAATATTTGAAAAAAATTGATTCTGGTTTATATCATTCAAAATGGTAAATTATGGATAGATTAAAATATAACAAAATAAAGCTATTATATGTTGACAATCTTAAGATAGGAAAGGGGGTTTTACTACAACACAAAAAGCATGAAAGATAAATTTGGACATATGAAAATAAAAATCTTCTGTTTTGCAAACAACATGAAAAACAAAGTTAAAAGACAAGTAACAGGTAAAATATTTTTAACATAAAAGAATACACAGCATTTAGAATAAATCCCTGTGATCATGAAGATAAAACTCAATAGAAAAATGAGTGAAGAACATCAATAGAAAAGTCACCGAAAGTGACCAGTAAACACATGAACTCCCCCAATCTTAGTGGTAATCAGAGAAATGGGTATTAAGATACCTTTTTTTATCCATCAGAGTGAAAAAAATTAAAGCTTGATTAAAGCAAGTATTTTCAAAAGATGTGAGGAAATGCATAGTCTCACACATTGGTAGTAGGAGTATAAACTGGTGAAGCCACACTGGATAGCAATCTGGAAGTTTCTATGAAAATGATAAAAAATATGTATATTTATTGCTTGACTCAAAAATTCATCTCTCAGTATTTACTTTATAGAAGCTGTCACACATGTGAAGGTGTGCAGTAGGATAGTCATAATACTGTTTATAATAGCAAAAAAAATTGGAAAATAAGACTAAATATCTATCAGTGGGGGCAGTGGAGGGATAGCTGAATAAACTATGGTATACATACATTGCGAGATACTAAGCAATAGTTTTAAAAAATGAAATGTACCTGTACTCCTCAAATTGACTTTGTATAGTATTATCATTCTCACTTTAAGAACAAGGAAACTAAGGCTCAGAGATGTTGAATAATTTTGTAAGATCACATAATGATTAGGTGGTAGAGATAAGACATGAACTCAAGTTGTCCAACCCCAAAGCCCACTACATTTGTGTTTCTCAAATTGTAGCCTTGGGAATCGCTGAAGATGAGGCTTCTGCAAAGGCAGAGTAAGGAGCTTGGCGAATCTTCTCCCTTAATAACAATGATAAAACTGGATAAAATAAAAAAACAACCATTTTAGGACTCTGGAAATTGACCAGAGGCATGCAACAAATTAAGAAATTATTCAAGAAAAACTACTAACCCTTGTGTAAAAACAGTAAGAATCTGTATATTTTAGTTTGGGATTTTCCTAT